GACCAGCCATGAGACAGGCAAGCAAGGACCGAGCGAACGCCGGCCGCCGAGAAACAGCAGGCACTTCCAACCCTTAAGCAGCACGAATAACGCTCCTATGGACGGTGGACGTGGGGACGGACAGAGGGACAGAAGCATGCATGCGGCTGCGGCAGGGAACACTCACAAGGGACCGACGACACGAAGCGGCTGTAGTCAACGCTTTCGTCGACGTCGTCGACGACGAATCCATGCAGGCTACTCCGAAAACGGACTATTCACCCAAGGCGGTCCATAAACTCCCGTGCATCCGGAGTTTATTGCAACAGTTTTTTTTAATCCGTTGACAACTTATTGAGACCCAGATCACCCTTGGGGTTGGGGTCGGGAGTATACATAGCACTGATGCAAAGCGAACGGTTATGCGTAAGGATAAGAGAGTCCACGGTGAATGACTTACCCGACCTGTAAATCATCGTCAGTTATCGAGGCGAGTCTAGGTCTAGATCGCTCGGGAATCTTCCGGGGAAATGCTCCATCGATGAGATATGAGAGAGATGAACTGGGTTTCGGGCTCGTAGCCATCCCGAGGAGGATTTCGACCTCAGGGCCTCGATTGATTGATCGATGGCGGAAGAATTGCTCGATACCGGATCGAAAATATCAATGGATCATCAGGACGACGCATGATGACCTCGAGTACGCTCTCGACAGCATCATTATCGCGAGTTCATCAGTGCAGAAGTGCAGGAACGATTGATCGTGTGCATGAAAGTACGACAGTCTCATTTTCATTTTTCCTGCTTAGGGTCGGAAGTCGGAAGTCACTCACGAGAATATTCCGGGGTCGTTATCTTTGAAATGCTTGCTGTCGCGAATGACCGAAGTCATATGAATGCTCACTGCTCAGGGGGGATCAATTTGTGGAGGGTGAAGGGGGATACGACTCCATGAGTGGGGAACCATTTAGAGCGACGGATGTCTACTATGATTGGCAGGTAGCTCACTCACAATGTCTGCCACATGAGCATCAACTAGCCGATTGCTCAGAGAAGGGCCGAACAAGATCACCAGTCTGCTTGTCCGGACGATGAATTGACCGGTCGACTGACGGACTGACGGTGTGACTGATTGATTGTCGACGTGACAGAGAAACTCCAGTCGGCCGATCGATTCATGATAGAATCATGTATCAGCAGAATCTGTGTACCACATCAATTTTCGACCGATGAATATTATCATTCATTATTCGGGAAGTATCCGCGACCTCCGAGGACGGGCCCTCCCTAATCGATCGAGGACCAAGATGAAGCACGGCGGAAGGTTCCGATGGAAATCCAAGCGGAACTGGTCAATCGATCGCCACTAATACCAACTTCGCCCTCGATTCCGGAATGAGAGACAAAAACCAGCCAGCCTCGCGGATGACCGCATTAATCCGGTGAGTCAGTATGACTGGGAAAAATCGCATTAGCGTCAGACGCGTTTAAAACATTTCGCAAACATCAATCAAGACATCAGGCGACGTGATTCCATCACTCGGGGCTCAATACGGAGAAAAGCAAAAAGCTTGACGGACCAGCCGAAGTCGGAGACGCGAACGTCTAGCGCCCGTCAATCACAACTCTTGAACGACTTTTACGCGCTTTTGTACGAACGCATACGTCGTACATCGAGTCAGAGCGAAGCGGATCCCAACAGCCGATGCGAATCGGACCCCGGTCGGTAGAAACTGATCTGGAAAACTTCGTGCATCAAATTCGAGAAAAGACGCTGAGCCCGGAAAGACTTATCCGGCTCGGGGAGTCTCAGTGGCTCTAAAAAGAACTTCTAAAGCTCACGTTCCTAGGGACGATGACAAGGGCGAGAAGGAAGCTATACGCTCCGAATTTTCCAATCAGTTGAAAACATCACTGAGTCAATGGACCACGATAGGTGGGCCGACTGGAAATCCACAACCCAGCATTTTTCCACAGCTCGTCGGTCAGGGGCGGATCTGGGCCGAGGCTCACGGAGCTATGGAGTCGACCCCTCCAGGATTCATGCAGCTGGCTTCGTCGACCTTGTCAGGCCCAGACTCTGCCCGCCCGAATTTCATCGGATTCCGCGAACCCGGAGACATGAGTCCAGTCAAGCGATCCAACTTGTGGAATTACCTCACACATTGTACGCCCGGAGACATTCCTCTGGAGTCAAAGTACTGTAGGGTGCATACTAAAAGCCATATTCTTAGGTCTTGCTCGCACTGTCAGCTCAGATTCTGCGAAGCTATTTCTCTCGCCCGGAATTTCTCTGACTGTGTCAAATATTCAGCTCCGATGATATCCGATGTTGAATTGGATTCGATTCCTTCGGCGAGATTTTCCCTCGCTTCCAGATTCAGGCGGGCGCGATCATCGCTCAGCTGAAAGTCGCAAGGATTCTTCTAAAGTAACGAAAATCGAAAACGGTGATTTCCTCATGGGTTCGTCATCACTATTTCTCTGGAGTCGAGGGGCTACGATGGGGGGATCGGGGCCGGTGAAGGGTTTCAGCTCCGTCTCGAAAAAGCCTTCCTAGTTCCGCCACTGTCGTCGACATGCCCAATGATGATTCCATTCACGAGCATCGAGCAGAATCTCGGGGGAAGGGGGGGGGAATTCTCGGGATGATATCTGCAAGATTTGACCGAGAACTGTCCGCGAAATTCGATCACATGATCCCTGCATCTATGCAGTCACGAACTATCGAGCTTGTATCAAAATTCTCCGCAGAATGAGTTGTCGAACCATCGGATCGTTAAATGAAGGAATGGATTCCGATGGAAGTGACTCAAAGTATTGGATGGTTTACATCTGAGGTTTTCATGGATGTAGAAAATCCCGTCGAGAAGCCATCGAAGGTTTCATCTCACGGCTTGAAGTGAACTTCGCCCAGCGGGGATCCGAGAAGAGGTTCTGTCTTTTTTCTCTCGCTGGCTTCAGTCACTCGCTCTCCCTGTCTGAATGTCGTTCTCTCTCGCGCGCTTGTTCTTTTCTCGTTGTCGTTGTAGTCACCATCATCATGACTTGTTGTCCCCGCTGGAGGACCTACTTCTTTGGTTTTCGGTGAGGACTGCAACGGCAGCAAAGACGGATGCGACCACTATGCGTCGAACGAGCGACTAGGAAGTTCTTCAGAGCCGCCGTCTATTGTTTTTTTCATCCGCATAGGTCCCATCCCGAGGATTTCGGGATAGGCAAGATCTCCGTCGTCCTCCTCCCTTATCGAAATTTCTGGCACCATTTTCGGACAAGAGATTCGAAACCAGGTCTAGAAGCCGGAGGACGATCGCGCCGGAGCGAAACAAAGCCAGGCCAAGGGGACGAAGCAACGACAGCCCGAATCCGGTCTGGCTGAGATATTCCCGATTGTGTTTATGAACGAACGAACGAATGAGCGGAGCTATAGATGGAAGGACATACGGATGAGCGGCGGTAGCTCGACGGGACTCCGACGTCTCGATGAAATATAGCCGTAGACAATGCTTCTACGCGCGAATATCCGAGTCCGTCCGTCCATGGAAGCATGCCTGACTGTGTGAGTCGGAATATGTGCGGTTCTGTGTGTGTTCGTGTGTGTCGGTCTGTTGGTCTCCCAGGGTGAATTGTGAAGGTGTGTGACATTTTTTCGTCCACTCCGCGGCTGGCAGCGAACGATTCGGAAGTCGGCGTCAGATGACGACAGACTCTTTGTGCGACGGGAGATCGACTTCGATGCCAACCTAAAGTTCAGCTGTTTGTCATCCTCAAGAAGGAATTACATCATTGGAGATTCCTGGGTGAATTCCAAAGTGCATGGGCTCGCAGCGGAAGCCCTCGGCTGACAAACTCTCGGAGTTCCGGCTCCTGAAGCTGGATCTTGAGGAGACAGCCCGCGGAGGTGTCCCCAGGATCCCAGGAATATATCGCTTCTCATGGCTTCCCTTCTATTCAGGAGCCCAAGCAGACGTCAGCAAGAGAGCTTTAAGGCAGATTGAGCACGACGCCAACGTCACAGAAGCCGAATCGTAAAGCAATCTCGACTTTTTATTCGGCGATAAAAGAGGAGTAATACTAAGACAGAGCGGACCCAGTATAAGACGAGATCGCTGTGGGTCGGAACTGAGACTGTCGGATCGTAGATAAGATCGAGCCCAACAAAAGGATTGATGTGGATCTGGGATAGTACGGAGCATGAGGTATACCCTCTCAAGATTTCCCCGAGGAAATCCGGCGGCGGATTCCTCTCTCGGAACAAGTTCCTCTTCGAGGCGAGTAAACCATCGGACAGGCATCGGTTCCGCCAATAGGTCGAGCACCTGACGCACAAAATCAATTGCGTGAGCGACTTGTGAGAAATCCAGCTTCAGGACGTGTCTTCGCATGAAAATCACGGAGCACACTGGCGGATAGGCGAATAGCGAAGCGATGGACTCGTCGTTTAGAAGCTGGAAGGTGGCTTTCATTTTCTCGACTTGGCTGGTGACGCATGAATTGGAATCACGGTTTCCAGCCACCGCGAGTGTCGACAAAAGCCGTATCTCGAGACCGAAATCGTCAAATGTTCAGCAAAGCTCGTCGGGATCAGTTCGGGTATTTCTCGCTCGGCGTGTATTGGACCTTCATATGGTCCCATATCTCTACTTTCTACTGTAGCTTTCCGATGATAGCTTTCCGATCGTTCTATAGAAAACCGTGCGATCGTTTCCGATCGCATCGAGTGCGAAGGATCAGGATGGGCGAGGAGCTCTATCCTCCGAGATGAGCTAATGATCCAAGAAACCTCGCCCCGGGCCTCGGAACCTCCTCCGATCGGCCTCGAGCTCGCCGGAATAATTCAATTTGAACGAATAATCTAGGATCCTAGAGTTCGAGCTAAGAGAAAGACCGATCCTTTCGCGAATCATTTCCAATCGTCAGACTTGTTGAGATCACACTCCAAAGCGATCCTCCCCTGCACCTGTGCTGCCCTCCATCGGAGGCGCGACGGAGCTTTGGACGTCGTCTGCTTCCTGCGTGTTTATCTTTTCTGATGGTGCTGCTCTCACTCAGTCAGCCAGTATTGTTGTTTACCGCCCAACCCCCCGTGCAATGAACGGCTGATGTCACGCGCCTGTCCCTAAAAACGACAGACAAAGCTTCACCGAAAGAGATATTGTGAAAGGCGAGGTAGTCTATCCAGCAGTTCGAGGTGAGCTCACCGACTGACTGAGGTTGACTTTTTGCAGATAGTATTCTCGTTGCCGACTTGCCGCAGCCGATGTAAATATTCGAAGATTTCGATTTCCGCGCATCGCAGGGAATCACTTTCGTGGAGCGTGAGGCAAGCGGTGGAGAATAACACAGTTGTGCTACCTCAGATCTCGCATAAAATTTTCTGCTTTTCGAAAACCCAGTCCGAACAGACCGAATTTCACGTCGCAAGTCCTTGTTGCGAGTTAGTCAGATGATGTTTTTACGGACCACCCCACATCGCCGAACGATGGAAGCGGTCCATCGTAGATCGTAGAGCTCTCTCACTCCGAGTATTGGAGGATTCCATTCATCGGAGCGGAGCATTCGGTGTTCCTAATTTTTGCGGAGCTCACGGAGAGGCGGTGGAGTTGCCGTACTGTCGCGGAAAACGCAAATCCTCAGATCTGCTTCCGGCGGGGCCTTGAATCATCTTGTTTTTTCCTCTACAGCGAGGCAATGAATCCAGAGGAGAGAGACGCTCCACCGCTCGAACCGGAGACTGTAACAGAAACTGTGACCCAGGAATCGAGCGAGCCTGTGGCAACCCAGACGCCCGCAGAATCCGAAAAGGACCAGGCCAAAGTTGACCCTATCAGGCAGATTGAAGATACACTCGCAGCGGAGGAATCCCTCCTCACCCCAGATCAGTTGCAGGCACGGAGACATGGGAGAAGAAGCTTCCTAATTCATCATTCTTCGATTTCCTCCAATTTCCAGCATACGACAAAGATTGTTCACATACTATTCGCGAATCATTCATATCCGATTCTTTCCCTAAATTGCAGGAGCGTTACGAAAGTTCCCAAAAGTTGAGGGCGCAAGCAAATAACTTGTACAAAGATTCAGCCTTCAACGACGCCGCTATGAAATACAGTGAAGCTCTCAAAATTTGTCCCCTGAAAAATGGAAAAGACCGTTCGATACTCCACGCCAACAGAGCCGCCGCGTTGATGGGCAATCATCAGAACAGAGAAGCTCTCCCAGACCTCGACCGAGGTAATTTCGTGTCCTGAGGCCGCAGATTGGTATCAGCGGACGACGAAGTAGATCATTAGCCTGAGCTCCGGGAAGCTCCAGAGAATACCAAACGTGACTCTCCCGCAGCTCTCCAGTTGGACCCGCACTATCTGAAAGCTCTAGAACGGAGAGCTCGATTGAACAAATTGTTGGAGAATCTGGATGATTCGCTCAAAGACTACGAGAAGATACTCGAGCTGAGACCTGGGAATTGCGCTCATATTTCGACCATCAGAGAGCTGAAGGAACAGATAAGAAAACGAGATGAGGAACTAAAGGCGAAAATGATGGGTGAGACCTCCCTCGAATCCCTGTCTGTCGACCATTGGATACAGAAGAAGATTCAGAACCGGGTGTGAATCTTTTTTCCGGAAATTTCAGATTCTTTGAAACAACTAGGAAACGTCTTCCTCAAACCATTCGGCCTATCAACGGATAACTTCTCCATGGTTCCAAACGAAGCCGGTGGGTACAGCGTGCAGATGAATGGCCAGAAATGAAGAATTTTCACTCGGGGATTCGAGGAAGACCGTTGAAATCTCTGGAGGAAATACTAGTTTCCGCGGGTGATGATGTGTGAAAAGATTATTTAATAAATTATTGAGAACCGTTTTCAAGAATGGAATGATTTTCCCTTACGTTGGCCGCACATCAGCACTGTGAACGACGATCCTGAAAATAACTAGCTAAGCTCTTCAACGCGTTGGAATCGCCATACGGCAGTCCGTGGAGAAAGTCATCATGCTGCAACAGATAAATGAACTCCTCGAAACTCGAGAAGTGTATCTGTCGTGACCCTTTCCTTGCCTTCTTAATCGGCCGTGGAGACATCGAGTATTTCGTGATCGCTGCGGACAGCTCTCCAAGCGGTCTGAAGTCTCAATCAGGGACCAGCTCCTGCTGGACTCCAATCCTGAACCCGGAATCCAGGATCGTCATCTGCCGTGAGAACCATTAGGGCACCTCTGATCAGATATCAGGTCCCTCCTCATCTCACTAACTACGATGCGCTCGAGGACTCAGTTTTCAAGCTGCGAAAGTGCCTGAACCTAATCAATCGCTCCATAGGCTACACCCTACACCTGTTCGGGCGATCAGTGTAGATAAGGGGACGGACGCTCCCTTGCAGCGGGAATCTAGGCTTTTAGATACGAATCAAGTCGAAGCGGAAAATCCCTCTCAGAAGGCCTCCAAAGTGAACTTGTGATCATTATTCGCACACAGAGGTCAGAAGACTACGGCTCACGAGCCCTCGCAAGATATTCGAATTTACGCGCCTCCCCTGCTCATGGTGATTCCACCCTCTTTCTCTCCTTCCGGTCGAATTCGTCTGGTATCATGGTTTGTTTTTTAGGTTTTGTGACAGTGCTCCCGCTGCAGAGCTACGTGTTTCTAAGAAGGCAGCTGTCGGAAACGTCCTCGACTCCGGAGTTGATTTCCGACCCCGGGACACGGACTTTCGGATCGACCATGTTGTCGTCGGTGTTAGTCTTGCTCGGGCTTTCATCTGCTCTTGCCGTGGAGCTCACATTTGAGCTACCGGACAATGCTAACCAGTGCTTCTTCGAAGAGGTGAAAGAAGGTACTAAAGTGACCATCGAGTACCAAGTCATCATCGGAGGAAACTACGACGTCGACATATCAGTACACGGTCCGGATAAAGTGGAAATCTACAAGCAGCAACAGAAACAGTTCGACACCATTCCATTCAAAGCTCAGAAGAGCGGAGTGTACAGCGCCTGTTTCTCGAACGAATTCTCCACCTTCAGTCATAAACTGGTCTACATGAGCTTCCAGGTCGGTGAAGAAGCTCCCATCGGCCAGGACAACGTTCGTCAGAGTGCGATGACGAAAATGGAGGACAGCATGACCCAAATACATAAAAACCTCAACACTGTTGACGATTATCAGACTCACCACCGTTTACGAGAGCTGCACGGCCGGAAAATCGCAGAGGATCTCAACTCTGAGGTCATGTGGTATTCGGCAGTCGAGTCTTTTGGCATCATCACGATATTTCTGAGTTATGTTATGATTATGAAGAGTTTCTTTAGCGACAAGAAAAGCATTCGATAGAACGACGGCGGAAGTGTACAGCAGAGAGCATAGATGAAAAAGACGGTGGAAATATTTGAATATAAAGCGGGAATCAATTCGGGCCGATTCGTGATGATCACTATGCCTGTTAGGATTGAGTTCATGAGAGAATATTTATCGTACATACGTCGAATGCGTAGTCTTCATTGCGAATTGGTCTAGGTTATTGTCATCATTATTAAGCAGATCTTCTATATTTTTAGAAAGCGAAAAAAAATGTGTGTTCCGTGTGCGCTTGGAGTGGACGCAATAAAGTCATGTCTGTAAAAAACTCTAAGACGCGATTTTCCTCAGCAGCGGTCATATGAATCGGCACGGTCGGGGAATTGCGGTCAGGAGTCTATTCTGGTCCGCTGGATTACAAGATATACGGTCTGGACCATTCTCTTAGTAACCTAGTCCGGGTATTGAGTGAAGCTAGGCTCAACGGTGTTTCGATAAGTCGGCGGACTGTCGCGATCTCCAACTCTGGTCCACCGGCCGCCTGGAGAGTGGATGAGGTCCAAGGATCCCTGCTGACGGAGGGGAGGAAACTCCCCCGCCCGGGTCGATCTCACAACAGCACTACAGTGTCTAACTACGTTGCCTGAAGATATCCGGATTGGAGCTATCGAATGCATCCTTCCTGTAGCTCAGGATGACATCATTTTCCCCTTCCCCATAGGCGAGGGGCAATTGAAAAGTCTACGTTTAGATGAGCCAAGAGTCCGATGCCCATAGAAAACCGCGGGCTCTATTCACGGTGCAAGGTGTATAGCGTGAACTGCGACTCGGTCAGGTTGCTCGCGAAAACAAAGAGGAATGTTTGGATCGGGCTTCAATCCGCGATAACAAAGCCTGACGCGGTCAAGGGGATCCTGCAGATATATTTCGAACGATCTCAGAACTCCCTCAATGCTCGTTCTATTTATCCCGCCCAGAATCTCACGGCGTTGGAGCACACCCTGTTCTGCAGCGTTTGGCGAGACGGATTCAGCGCACTCATCCAAGATCAAGAAACTTTCTCGAAGGTTTGAGCTCGACCTCGGCGGGGTCACCTTCAGTCCATCGCGGAGGGGTCGGGAAGTCCCTACACCTCGCAGTGTTGATTAATAGACACGACACGACGAATCGCATCGGGGACTCCAGCATCGGAACCACGAATTTCGCTTCTGGGAGCGTTTCCCTGGGAGAAGAGATACATGGACGTTATCTATATGTAGATCGGTGCGAGGAGGAATCTATCATAACTTGAGAAGCAGTGGGTAGAGGTCAGAATAGGAAGCGGGCTCCTCTTCTCCCGGTTCGGAGCAGGGAATCGTGAATCGCCCCATGCCGAAGTGATTCCGATTCGCGATGAGTTCGAGTAGCGAAAAGAAACCTCGTCAACTGGAAAATCGTGATTCTATCGAGATAAATCATCTCCAAGTGATCGTCTCTCTCCGTCTATAACATTTGTATTTTCGTTTATGCTTTCTCTCAAATCCCTTACGTGGCCGGGTGTCTAGTATAGGAGCTGTTTTGGGTTTCTCAAAGTCCTCCATATGAGTGGCTTGATGGTGCGGCAATCTTGAATAATAGCTTCTCCATGAAGCGGTATCGCTCACGATTCATGAAAACTTGTAAAATCCATGCATACTTCCTCCTTGCACATGATTGCCCCCTCCTACGCATTGCTGTCCCATGTGCACTACATGGCTCATCGCCTCTTGCTCATCCTCGGAGAATCGACGATCTGAGTTTGAGTTTCTCTGTTCGGAAACGAAGTGCTTAAGTAGTGTGGTGGCCAGATGTGGCGGCTGGCACTATTACTGCTCGGAGTCCCTTACGCAGTGGCAGTGGAACTTACCTTCGAGCTCCCCGACAACGAACGGATGTGTTTTTTCGAAGACTTTCAACGAGGTGTCGATGTATCCGTCAGTTTCCAAGTCATTTCCGGAAGGAAGCACGATGTTGACATCCTCGTTCAGGGCCCAGAGAACGCCGTGGTCGCCAAGCAGCAAGGGAGATCCTCAGGAAGGATTCCCTTCAAGACCTCACAGAGCGGTCCGTATAGTGTATGTTTCTCCAACGAGTTCTCAACCTACAGCAGCAAAGTGATTTACATGGATTTCAAAGATGGAGTTGGAGCTCCGATCTCAAACGGGAACATCACGCTTGAGGCGGTCAAGGAGCTTGAAGATCGCGTGGTCCAGGTTCACAAAAACCTCAAAGAGATCACATCCTACCAGGCCCGTCATCGCTTGCGGGAAATGTCCGCGAGGAGCTTAACCGAGGAGCTATATGGTTCCGTCCTATGGTTCGCAATGGCGGAGTGTCTTACCATTGTGGCTCTCTTCCTCCTGCATACAGTCGCCATAAGAAGTTTCTTTAGCCACAAGCGAAGTTCCCGCTAGCGGAATCGGTCATAATAATCAAACCCGTTATCTGAACACATATGTACATAGACTTTGTTTGCTTTTTCGTACGCGTCATGGGACACCCTTTATCCAAGGATGGAATAAAGTTTTGTTTGTCGAACTTGTGATCGCATGTCTTCCTCCGCAACACCTTCGCCGATAAGAAGAACTATCAAGGAAACTCTTCGTCGCGCCGCCCATCGGGAAAGAGGAGAGATGAGTATTGCCCGGCACTTGACCCGAGCGAGTCCAGGAACATTTCGAGTTCTAGAGCTCGCACGATTATATATATCATTCGACTCCCGTGATCTTGCTCTGAATGCAATCAGGAACTACCATTATCTTGAGTTCCATGATCCTTCACAGTTTTCGGAAGTCGTCTTCCCCCTCCTATCATGCTCAGAAGAGCTTACACGCGGGGCACCTTGTCATAACTGAGGCGAGCGTGAGGAAGCAGGTCATCCGCGAACAGTGGATGATGTTTGCTGGCGACTTGTGAAAGGGGGCGAAACAGCACTCTTCCAAACCAAGCCAGCAACCAACCGATCAAAGTCCCCGGATTCGCTGACAATCTGCTGCTAGTGCGCCACCGTCCTAAGTTTCTCCGAGCTTGGAGCAATGGTGAGTGAGTTTCTCTGCTCTCCGAGAGGACTGACTCTGTTGCACAAGTGTGGACTGCGAACGTCATTCGGAGCTGCCCCGCAAATCTTTTAGTCTCATTCGTGACAGGCATCTCCTATAATGAAGCTCGTCACAGCAGACCGAGATGTACCGAGAGCCAGAAGTTCAACCTCTTCGAGGATGGTGTTTAGAAAAATGATGGATCATCGGTTGCGACTCCGAGAGCCGAGGGAAAAGAGTTCGAAGGTACTTATTCGAGCGGCTACACCCTGCTGTGCGGGAGTATAAAACACCTTTCACAGCTGTTCATACGACAAATGACGTTCCCTTTGGACAAGCGAGCAGACAGGCACCTATTACATACCCAAAGCAGCGGAAGACCAGAAAAAGAAGAAGGCGAGCGCCGCTCCTGTCTCCTCTCTGGCCAGATTTCGCCTGTGCTTCCTGTAAGTGACCACGAACGAGCTCGCGCTCCCGCTCAGCCACGTCAAGACAAATACTCCGTTTTCCAGAAGGGAGATTCGAAGGTATTTGAGCGGGAATTCCGGAGATTTGAGAATACCTAAACTGCAGGAGAAGAACCCATCGCTCGGTAGGATGCAAAGTCGCCTCGGTCTGCTGTTCGACCACTATTCCCGATTCCCCCTCTTCAGCATCTTTTCGATCGATACACGTTGATTTTCACATAAAACACTCTCATATGAATAGGAGAAGTTTCAGCGCACAGAGACGGGGAGGAGCGCTGGATGCAATCCCTCCCGGGCATCCAGTTTCCTCGGGCACTAAAATGCCCGACGGAAGATACGGAACGACCTTTCATGGGAGACTTCAGTTCCTTTGTAACGATCACCCATGCGGGATTCTCCAGGAAAAAAGCGAGGAGGATTCAATCAAGTTTTTGTCAGGGACTCCGAAAGATTTGCTGACTGCACTCTTCAACTTACGTATCTCACACATCGGGAGGAACGATGTGGTTCAAGATTCTCAGGAAAGAACGACATAAATCAATTGGCAGCTTTCTGGGAAACTTCATCAAGTAGCCGCCGGAGCTTCGAGTGAAAACACAGGGCTGCGGTGTCATTCGAAAACGAGAATTTTTGACAAGGTCTCCCAGAACCTTTAACCTACTTTCCTTCCTCTCGTAGAGAACAACAGCACATCTCTTTTTCTTGGCTGGAAGCTACCAGACGTAGCTCAACGGGACAGCCGTGACATATTCTAGAGAACAAATGCCGAACTGCGTCGTATCCAATAAATTGGTGCATCTTCTCCTCTATTCGGAACCGGTCCCTCCGCTCGGGTGAATCTCTAGCTCAACACTTCGGGGCTGTAGTCGGGGATCGATCAATCCGCCGGTCGCCATCACAGCCGAAATAAGGCATCAGGTCCACCTCACACAAGCTGGAAGGTTTACACATTTTTCGTTACGCGAGCTTGCTTTGTATACAGAGAGCTCGAAGTGGGTAAAAGATGACTCACCAAACAGAACTCGGAACTGAGTGAATGAGAGAGTCGGTTCTGAGTCGATGATTCGTCTTTTGTTTGCTCATTCCGACGCTTATTTGGCTGTAATGACACGGGAAAGGAGCGGCTGGGCGAGAGCATTGCGATTAGACGACCGGACTTGATCGCGTGGGGTGCCCATCATTGTATTATTCAATTGAGCCGGGTTGTAGGACTACAATGATGGAATGTATCAGTCAGGACACGGAATCGACTCCATGAGGAAAGAAAAAGGGGTGATCGAGAGCGAGTTACGGAAGCTGGTCGAGTGTCGATTATTCTGAGCCACCGTGATCAGTGAACAGACATCTGGCGGTGGAGTCGATGAACTTCGCGCAAAAGGAGGGCTCCCCGCCATTGATAAGAATTTGGAAACCGTCTATTTGAATTTGCATGGGAAAAATCATCGTGAGTCGATCTCTTCCCGCTGAGCTTTTTCCGTAACGCGACGCAACATACAACGATCGCCGTTTTTCCGGTGAGCGAAGGGAGGCGACCCACGCTCGTCGACATAGAGAACACTTTCCGGTCAGAAGTTCATTGAGGGAAACGCTCATCACGAATTCAAGGCATCTCGTGGGCCTGAACCGCGGAGAGCGACCTTTGACCGCCACGAGCGGCCTTCACAAGGCCTTAACCCTGAGCCAAGTGTAGGTCCTAATAAGTCGGCGTGATCTCCGGCCTGCGGCCGATCGCCGTGTCGTCCACCCGTCGACGATGATGTCATTCGAGCGTTTACGTTCGCAGATGCTCTAATACGGATCGGACCGTAGCGGAGTTTATTCGAGAAAAGATCCGAGCGACGTCGTCGTCGATCGATTTCCGGAGACATACCCACGGCTAAGATGGCACCAAGGTCGTTCGGCCCACTCTCAGTACTCTCTCCCTGCTATGAGGGAAGCCGTAGTGGTCTTCAGTGCACAGCTCTGTCGTGTAGACGCTCAAGTGTGTCGTCGTCGTCGTGTAACTCGGTATCGCATCCGGTAACCGCAGCTCACATATCTTCCAGGAATGGTGCGCACAGCAAACAAGACCGTGAGGTTCGGATCCTCACCGCAGTCGCTCGAGCGCAATTCGCTCAAGCGCCAGAAACAGCTCCGCAGCCACATCGGTATTCCAATCGACCCCGTGGAGAAATTCAAAGTGTACGTCGAACTCCGTCGGAGGTACCGCGAAGAGTTCAATGCGGTCCTCTATCAGCAGCTCATGCGTGAGTTCACATCGGTGCATCGATTTTTCCTCGAGTGTCTCCACGACTTCTTCAATGGACACTACGCGAAGCTGCAGCAGGCAGAAGCGAAGAAGTATCGTTATCCAGACGTCGAGTACTTCGATCACCTGAAGATGTTGGATCTCGGCTGCGGCCCCACCGCGTATGCAAGCCTCAGTGGATCGCAGTTCATCCGGAACATCGTGATGGCAGATTTCACCCATGCAAACCTCATCGAGTTGAACAAATGGAGAAACGATATGGCTGACGCGTTCGATATCAGTTTCCTGGCGAAGGTTGTCGCTGCCCTCGAAAACAAAGGGTAGGTGCTAGGTTGGAACTTCGATCATTGACTAGCTCGCGTGTCTTCCCGCATCTGAATACCGACGGTCGTCCCGGATGGCCTGACCAATCGGCCTGATGAACGATTCGATGAATCCAAGACACCCGACCCGCAGCCCTGCGACCGGTCTTCATCGCGGGGAGTTTCCAGGTCGAAAACCCTCGAGGGACTCGAGAGGAAGCCCCAGACCGTTGGTATTGAGCAGAGGGCTCTGCGCTTGAGTAATCGAATCTTCTTTCTTTCCTGAGCAGCAACATGCTTGATGGCGGGTACGAGATTATCCGTCGCACAAAGGATGCCGTGAGCAAAACGTGCCGATGTGACGTCACGGCCCCGTTCATTCTGCAAGAGAGTCAGAACGACGCGAGATTCGATGTGGTAGTGTCTTCGACTTGTTTGGAAGCCGCCTGTCTCGATGTGCCCACGTATGAAAACGCCGTTTGGAAGATCGCACAGCAAATGCTCAAACCCGGAGCTTTCTTCATCCAGTGCGGTCTGACTGGAACCACTGGCTACACAATCGGTGAGTTTTGCCCGCGCTTCCTCTGACACCCATTGTCGATAGATGTGGACCCGACCTCCCCCCCTCCCCGTGCGCTTGCTTGCGGTCCGCTCCAATCATGGTAAATCCGATGGACGGTCCAGAATTGTATACGGCAAACGGAGGAGAGCCCGCGCGAGCTACGAAGCGGTGGGAGAACCACTCTTTCAATACGAATTACGCCCGGCCCTTAGCAGGCATTTTAGCGCTTCACGCGGTGGCGTTCATCCCGAAACACACGATGGCACTCGACATCTTCGCGCGGCGCGGCGTTGCCCGTCCGTGTCTTCCACGTGATGTTCCAGAACAATCTCGTGTCCCATTGTGGATATCCGTACACCGAGTGTGAAAAACACGATCGTTCATCTAATGACTCACGCACCGGTAGTACCCGAAATATTTCGGTAACAACCGCTGCCTTGTGAATGGCGCCACCCACGCGTTGTTTTGCCCCATTTGCGGATGCGAAACTCCAGAAAATATCGTCGTCACTAGACGCACTGATTTCATCTATTTTCAGTCGCGCCCCTGGATATTTGCAGAGAATCCTCGGAACAGTTCCGAACTCAAAACAATGGTTCATATTTCCAGGTCAGACGACGTTCGACTGCTTGCCTCTTAGCGATGACATCGTCACGAAGGCTATCGACAACGCTGGCCTCAAAACTATATCCTTCCATCACCTGAGAAACCAGAGCCACCTCTACGGAGATCGATTCGAGTCGGCGTTCGTCATCGTAGCGCAGAGAGTGCTCCCGATTCCGACGTAGAACGTCTTGGATCCTACCGGGATTGCATCTGTCGAGACCGCAAATATAGGGGAGGTCCCGGACGGAGGTTGTAGGTAATTGCTCTTTCGATAATAATCGACGAAAACTGTCAGATTGTTAAAGAGGAGCGTCGATGGATGCTATACATATAAGTTTACAGCCAGTGCAACGCTGGTGCTGTTTTGACGTAACGCGAGAGAAGCTGATGAATGAACTGTCGGTGTTTTTCTACACGAAACTACATGTCTCATAATCGCGAATGTTTGCTGTTTCCCCGGAGCCACTGTAACTCACAAAGTAATTCCGATGTAAATAGACTCGCAACGCGATCGGTCGCGCGCTTGTGTTCAAAGGGCTCCGAGTGTACCTTTGAGCGGTCAGATTTGTACAATGAAGCTCATGTGTCCCATACTTCGACATCAAATCATGAATAAAAAACGTAACTCATCCACGCGTAGATTTCTGGAAATGACGGGGCAAATTTCTCAACGACGCGGTGAGCAATCGAAGATTCTTCTATTTCCTCGAATATCTCGCCTCGTATTAACGAAAACAGGCACATTATACATAGAAAAGCTCAATCAGCTGGAGTCTGGAATCCCTTCATGGTCTTGCAGTACAGCCCCACAATTCGAGATATTCGCCTCGGTTCTCCCGAAAAACGTCGCGAAGGTCAAGTACCCGGTGTGGCCCGGAATATTTACAGATGGTACCGCTGTCAGAATCTGATCACCTCCCGGATCTCTCCTCGCTCCATTGGTCTTGCCACCGCGAGGTTTCTTGGTAATCTGCTCCTCTCCTAGACCTGAAGAGAAATGAAAGATCATTCATATGAGAGAAATCCTCCGATTCTGCTGATCGTGGTCATGATTATGATGGCAGACGGTGAATCACCTTCAGCGCTTTCGAGTTTGAGCTCCTCGCTAGCTGGTGTCGTGTCGAAAGGAAGACCGTCTTCTCCCAGGAAATATTCGAGGCCTCTCGTTGGATCGCCGCTCTGCTTCGCCATCTGAATCTTCTTGATTTCGTATGGTCTCTCCAAACACTCGAGCGTCGTGATTTCGCCGCACCGCAGCTCTCGGAATTTATCGCAAGTTTTTTGAACTTGCTCGATACACGGCGAGAAAGAGCATATTCTCCCGCCCGAATCTTTTAAGGCCTTGACCGCGTGCTCAACGGCGAGCCAGGGGTGTGGGAGATCCAAGAAAACCGCGTCCGCGACTCCCTCAAGCCCGAAGCCATCGGCGCAAACATCTCTGTGGGCGCATTTCACCAGTTCCCCCAGACCATGGGCATCGAACTCTTTCTGAGCGATTTCAGAGCGTTGCTGTAAGGAGTAAATGACTCAGGTCATGGAGGGCGGAGAATTCGGACCAATCCTCGGCTGTTCCCTTCGGAGCAATCCTCGGAAATTTCCTCCGGAGCGTTCCCTCGAGCTCTGAGACACTCAATTAGATCACTTCACTTCTAAACGAACCTGATGAAAGTCGAAAGTGAAAACTTTCCCTCGAGGCGCCACGGCTCGGGCCAGTGAGTGTGTCATTGATCCAGAGCCAGTCCCCGATTCTATGACAATGCTCCCAGGCTTCAAGTCGAGATTGAATACGGTCAATGAGATGTCTCTCGCGTATAGAATTTGTGTTCGATGAGGAAGACTCAACGTCCAGAGCTCCGGAGTCGGCCACAAGAAATGCACGTAGCCGTTCTTCACCGGCACACGACTCCCGTAGGGTTTGCCGATCACGTCATTGTGTCGGAGAGCCCCGTATTTCGTTTGGAACGTTTCGCCGGCCTTCAATGTGAGCGCGTAGAAAAGGTTGAAATTCAAGTACACAATGACAGTGTCTCCATCCGCCGGGCACTCCTTATGCTCCACAAAGCTCATGTTAAGTTCATCTGTCGGATTCCGAGCACTGGTGTCGCTGAGAGAACTTTGGCAGATCACAGTTCAATGAATTCGATTTTATTATTTCAGTTCCGCGACAAAACAGCTTTCACGTGTGTTTGTTTACCGCGTGAGCAGACGCAGTGGAGAGGAGGAGAAGTTCGAATTCATTATTGCGAATTCGAGGTTCGTGGGGCAGCAGTAGAAGCCGTGAAATGAAAAGACCACATCTTTTTCCGCGGATGTTAGGTCTCTGCTGATAGTGAGGCGAAGTCGACCCTTGACTGAGACCTTGTTTTGGGGAGAAGCTTCTCGTAGTGGTGCGCGGGAAGAATTATCGGAGAGCCCGTTAGACTCCGACTCATGAAGTGAGCTCAAGATCCGAATCCAGAGCGGGTACGCAGCCGTGTGGTCTTCCTGGTCTCTGGAATCCGATTCCTGAAGACCTCTGAACTCTCCTTGTTGGAGAAAAATTGTGGACGCACGAGGGCCATTCTCGAAAGTCGTTGAGTGAATTCGACTCTGACATAATAGTGTACGCAAAGTCGCGACAGCTTTGGAGGGCTCGTCGATTCATATTCGGAGCTGGCTCCAGGCGTCGACCTAAGATGTTTCGTCGGGAAATGTGTGCTGCAAAAAAGGGAGTCGAGGCCCGACGCAATGGTCTCGCGGCTCGTCGAGAAGAACAGCGTAATAAACTCATGCAAAATCTGCGTAAGGTTGAGACGACCGAAAAGAAAGGTGAGTAGTACTCCGCGGTATGCTGCGTGAAGAGGAAGAGTATGATCAGCTTCGATTCTTAACCCGGCTCATATAAGTTGCAGTTGTGGTACCGAAGCCGAAAGAAGATGCATCCGAGCGGCGAGCTCGTCTCAATCAATACCGCGAGATGAAGACTCGCAAAGAAACTGAGCTGAAGGCGGAGCGCTTGAAAACCCCGGCATTCAAAATCGGCTCCGCACCCGCGAAAGAACGAGCTCCAGCGTCTACGGCCCGGAAAATGCTAGATTTCGATGTGAGTAGACCTCGAATCACACAAACCTGGATGCGACCACAGACAAGTCATGGATGTTTTGCGACTGCCCTCGGGTCAATGCTCATTTTCGATTTCAGTTCAGGAAAAAATCGAGCACCGAATCTGCGGTCAACTCAAAGACTCCTGCGGTTCGGAAAGCGCTTCAGTTCGGGAAAGCCCCAACGAATATCGCACTTCCGGCGGTAAAGAGTTCGGAACCTTCAAATGAACAGGTCGGCTGAACATCCAGACTCATAAGATTCTGGTCAATATCTCAGATGCGAAAGAATTTCCTTACGAGGAACGGCGATGCAGAGATTGTAGCCTAAGCGACTGTAATTTTCCCAATGTGGCTCTGCTGGCCCTTCAGAGACTTCCGTACGACGTGAACCCTCGCTGAGAATGTGTTCGCAGAGCTTCACTCAGAGCTTTCGTTTTAGGTGCAGACGAAAACGGCGGTCAAGCCTGACTTGAAGGAGAATTTTCATCCTGCAAGTCAGGTCCGACCAGGCTCTCGAAACCCACAAGTAAGATTTCTGGCGTTTCTGAACGCAATCCCGACTGAAACGTGCAGGGGGATTCACGTAAACACATGTACAATAGAAACCATGGCTTGCTTGATGGAAAGGAGCAATCAAGGGGACATTTCCAGACTTCGACGAAGCGACCTGTTTCAACGCAAAGGACAACATCAGTCACCCCCAGCGCCAATCCCAATATGACGACGCCGAAACCCGGATTGGTGAGATTCTTCTCGATACTCCTTCAAACTGGAATGAAGGGATTCGTCTTGATACTTCCTTCATTTCTAGAGAATGCCAACGCCGTCGAGAAACGCGTCGAAAGGACCTACACCCTCAAAGACCTCGTCCGTTTCTGCATCGAAGGTATGCGATCCGCCCTCTCACCTGCTGCCCTACATTTTGCGCGAGATTCCTGAATTTATGAGGGAAACGAGCGGCTGGCGACAAGCCTTGAAATGGAAACTTGAGCTAAATATTATTCTTTCCCTACTCTTCCAGAGAACGCCGGCGACCACCAGCAAATCGAACTCGAAGACGGTCTCGACGAAATCGACGCCGTTGAAGAGTGCATCTACACCCTTGAGATCCGTAGGTCTGGGATCTCGGACGCAACCGAAAAAGGTGAGCTCCACATACCGGGTGGACAGTACCACAGACCAGGGAGTTCCCGTCACAGATAGCTCCTATTCGATGACGTTCTCACGATAATACAACGATTGCTTCTCCATTCCGAGAAGACCCCACAACCTTCTCCACTCGCTGGTTCGACACGTTCGAATGTTTCAAAGCAGAAAGCTGACCTGCGTGATACAACCAATGAGAAGAAGAAACCCAACTCAACGCCCAAGGCACCGACGGTGAGAACGATCCCCTGAGAAATGGATGCCCTCCGAAAATTTTTATAGATTTTTGAAAATGAACGATATGCGGATGAATCCCCGATTTCAGACAACGCCGCTGAAGCGAACTCAGTCAACCAGTAATTTATCACGTCCGACTCCGCTGCGGAGCGTCACGAAGCCCGATCAGAGCTCCCACAGCAAAACACCTCAGGTAGAAATTCCAAACGAGTGCTCGATACTCGACTTTGTTCAACGTATGTTGCATCGGAAGACTGATTCGTTCATTGGGGTAGATTGAGATCATTAACGACGTAGGGCGGGATCTCCTGCGGGGATCATAGGAAGGGAGCAATGGGATTCAAATCGACGTTGTTCGGTTCCAGACAGCGACCTTGAAGCGAGCTCAGTCAAGCAATAATTTATCACGGCCGAATCTACTGAGGAGCGTCGCGAAACCCTCCGAATGCTCCCAGAGCAAGACACCCCAGGTAGATTGGGGTTAAAGACTTGAATTGAAATTCTACAGCGTTCCTTGCCGACACTTAAGGGAAAAATGGACATTAGCTCCCAAATGATCCGGGTTTGAGGAACATCTCCGTTCTCAGGTGAAGCTTCAGCGTTCTACATCGGCGAGCACTCTGGCGCGTAAACCTCTAACATCGAGCTCACCAGTGGCGAAGGCGCGGTCAAACCTTTCGAAAAACTTGAGTGGAAGTTCTTCGAACGTCGAGAGAGCGCGAGATGGCGGCCCCCCTAACGCGCTCAACACGCGCTCAAACTCCAAATTGACGTCGGTTCCAAAACCGGGACCGATGTCTCGAATCCAAGCTGCTGTCATGAAGAACCAGGTTAGGATTGTCCCAATTTCCATCCCGATGCCCCTTTTGCCGAGTAACTCTCCACATCGCGCGACTCTAGCATTTGAATTCCATTGAGATCCCTCTCTCGTTCCCAGCAAACCAGAGCGGATTCACAGAAACAAGACCCCATTTGTGGAGAAGACGAGAATTTGAAGAAGTGGACCCGGCTCTTGGCCCTCGCACGAGTGAGTATTGATTGAAAGGTGTACATAAACGACGTTTGCACGCAGAATGTCTCCATGGGCATCGACAACCGGTTGATGATTGTCTCTGGACAGACTCTGAGCCTGGTTATCCAGGATCGATACGTTCGAACTGGAGAAGCGAGATCGATTCGAGAATCTACCACGAGGTTTTCGCGAACATCGCTGACAATTAGCCTTATCCGTCTATTTCAGGCTCAACAGGGATCCTGAGGAGAGTCTCGAACACATTCAGTCAAGAAAAACATGAGGCCGCCGAGGTCAGTTCAGGGATTGAGTTTGTTCCCTCCGATTGTTCTACTCCAAGCTGATCAGAGTCAATAAAAAAGTTGTATGGATGGAGCCTGATTTCCCTAGAGTCTTGAGCACCCTTACTCCTCCGGATGCTTCTGGGCGAGAGGGGGGGTGCTCTGATAAGAGGCGGAAGCAACGATCCCCGATAATTCACCTGCCACTCTTTAACTTCAAAGAGATATGAAGATAGTCACCGGGAGCGTCTCGCTTCGGGCAAACAGCCCGACTCATTTCTCGGAGGGCCACGAATTCAAGCAGGACGTTTCCTCTCAAGTCAACGACCCTTCGATGTCGCAAAAGAAAATCGATCCCTCAGACATCCCTCAGACAGGTTTTTATTCCGTAAACACTGACAGTTTCGACTCACAGTCACACACACTTGCACGAACAAGCATCAAACGGATAGCTTTGGAAGCTTAATATCTACAGACACGCGACCGAGCACTTTCTCACGCACGCTCACACACAGACAGCGACATGGGGAAATTCACACTGACGTAGTTCACGTAAGATGGTTTAGAGTTTAGAGATCATGACGCTGAGGAAGTCCGAATCCGAGATTCCTCACTGCTCATCTACAATTAGAGTGCAATCTGTTGGGTCGCCGTCAAGGGTCTGAGCACTCGTCGGAAGTAGCGTGCATTGGCTCCCCCTTGATACAACTGTTGGGCTACGGCAATGGGCACCACGAAAGGAGCCGCGGCTCCCATACCGACGATTCCCCACGCGGCTCCCCCCCGCAGGAGTCTCTTCTCGACCAGAGAGCTGTGGGACAGCTGTCCGAGAAGGAGCACGAGAGCACTTACGATGAGGGCCTGCAAGGAGTGAATTCTGTGACTTCCTCCGCTCCCCGAAATTATTCCCCGACAATTTCATAGAGCCTGAGAACGGTCCGAAGTTAAGGACTCCGGTTTGAGGACCGTGGACCTCTCGAAAGGCCAGGGCTAACGCCAAGAGGGGGTCCTCTTATCTTTCTCAACCTCAGACCTCACGTGAGTCGAAGTCTGGCTTTCTAACGAGGATACTTACTTGGAACTTCATTTCGCTCCGAGGAACTGCGACTCACGCCGTGGAACGAGGACCGGCTTTTTTATATATATAGGGGCCGACACTCCCCCGTAACGGCGGGGCTCGCTAAGCGAATCTCTCCAGAACCCGTTTGTGCACGCTAGGTGCTCCGGATGAATGAATGAACGAAGGGAGCCGCGACGAAAAAGTTCTGACCGACTACTGTGGATCGCGCCGCGATTACATCACTTCGCTGTAGTGGGCTCGGCTGGTTTCTGATTTCGTTAAGTTGCTGACTCGGAGAAAGGCGGCCGAATCAGCATCGACACAGTAACCGACAGGCTCAGGGAAGGTCATTCAATTTATTTCTAGACCGAGTATCGCACTTTCGTCTTTCGGAAGGAGTTCATAACGAAGGCAACACTCCCGTCCGCTCACCGATGAACTTGCCCGTGGAATGAACGGTCTTCGGAGGGGGAGGGGGTGCTAGTCGATTATCTTCCTCAGCGTTCCGATGAGTCTAACGCCGCAGCAGCTCAGATACAGAGGGCGTGGGTGACTCTTCAAAATTTATTGACGCGGGACTTCCGGGCAGCGGCGATAAGAGATTTTCTCTGGCGAGGCATCATCTAGGAGAGCAAGCGAATCTTCCGATGATTCCGGATCCAAACTCGCGGAGGCTTGCCCGAATCCGTTGATGGCTGAAAACCATCGGAGCGATAACCCTTCTGTCTGGTCGCGCTATTCGCTCACAATCACAGAATAAAGTCCATTCACATCTAAGCGTTGGGTAATTGTCATAAACGAAAGAATGACAGCTTTGATCAGATTGTCGACGACGGCTCAGAGATATCGACGGTTCCGAATCAGTGTGCATCGAGAGTCGAAATCTGACCCAATATTCGCTCAGAATGGACTGCGGGCAGCGTGAAAGGTTGCGTAAGGAGCCTTGATCTGAGAAGTGCAGCTCAGCGCAGAACATAGGCGATAAGAGCTGAGTATTTTGAGCTTGAGGTCACCTATTTTCTCCCTCTTGAGATAGAAGAAGAGAAATGTCTCCAGAATACCAGACAGTGGACTGAACCTCAGACGAGTCTAAGGTTTGCTCTCGACCCCCCTCGTTCTATTATTGTTCGACCTCATTGAGCTTCACTCTCGCGAATCGCCCACTTTCGTATCAAGACTCGCGACTTCCATCCCATTGTTTCCTCCTTCGTTCCCATCTTTCGCGGAGATGGGCAGTCGACCTCTCGCGTGAAGACTCTTCTAATCGCTGAATAAGTAATTATCGTACATTCCCGCGCGAGAAGTTAGCAAGATCCTCATCAGGCTGTGTATTCCGTTATGTTATAAGATGACTCCGCCCAATCTCGTGTCGCAAGGGCCGGCATTATCCCCCTTGAAGCGAGATTGGTCAGCTCGCCGAGATCGTCGCTTTTCGATGTCTTTCCCTCTCGTGGAGCGTGTTAGCATACGGTGGGTGCCACCGCAGCGGATGGGAACATCAGGGGGCATTCCCACCTCATCGGGGTCCATTTCGCGGCGGTACCGTCCCGGATGCCCGATTCCGACATGCCTTCGCGGCGGACTTCCGCCACCTCATCCGTCTGCAGGGGGTCCCTTCATTGAAGAACTCCACAAGAGCTCGAGTTCCTGATCGTAGTCTCCCGCTTCGTCTCGAGCACTGTCCGCAGCAGGACCTGCCCGAGCACGCTCCCCCTTTGAAGCAACCCTGTTACCACCGATGCATCCTCCTCTTGGTTCTCTTTGGCACGCTCCTCCCTCGATGGGGGCTTGCATTGCCGGCTGAATGCCGTGCTCAGCTTCCCGAGTCTGAAGTTAGTACTCGCGGCACCGGAATCGCCCCCGCGCACTCGTCATCTGTCAGTTTGTTGTCGGTACACCCTTCTGGGTCGCCGCAACGATCGACAACTCCTCCCCCTCCAAGGGTCACATGGCAAGTGGTCTGCTTCTCACTTCCTTGACTGCATCGGATGCCTATTTCAAGGCTATAAGCTCGAGGCTGCTCCGTAGGCGTCCAACATATACTAATCGTCATCTTCCATACTCATGCAATAAGCGGGGATGGTAAGATAATGTGCAGATTATTCACCGATTACCCACGCTCCTTCAATGCCAGAATGAGCGTGAAGACTGGTCCAATTGATAAGATGGGTTGTAGTTTGAAGAAAAGAGGAATACCAGACTACCCAGAACTCAGCGGTTCTGCTCAAGGAACTCCGATCGCTGGGGTTGAGCACCCTTAGAATTACCTCATGATATCGCAAGCGGCTTCATCACTTCCCGCGCAGACGTCAGCCGCTCTACCTCGCAAACCACGGCGAGATCGTCATCCGCAGGATCGTCTTGACCGACGATTAGATACCCATCTTTGGCTCTGAGGGCACCGGGCATCGCGCCAAGACCGCGCTGACGGATCTTGTGTTGGTCCTCTGAATTCTTCAAACTCGCACGAATGAAGAGTCGTCATGATCAGTCGGACACAAGCTGATCGTTTCTAGGTGCTACATGGATGGCTTGAAGGAATCGGCGCCTTATCGCGAGAGAACGAAACAGACGATTCCTTTCCCATTGGATGAGAATAATGATTACCGATTATCGATTATTATTGACGAACCGAATTTTTCAGAAATATGTTGCAACGGCCCTAAGTTCTTCTCCCCTTGCAGCCTGTCACTCAGTGTCGAGCTTAGGCCGCAAGGGAAGCCATGATGGATATCTATATCCGTGCCTCATGTAGGTATATCTTATGTATCAACCAAGGTACCAATGAGTGCAAGTATATCTTACGCATCAACCAACCCCAGCGAGAACTCGATACGTGAACATGTATTCAATCAGCCCTGAATCGCATCCTGAATCCTGAATCGCTCGCATCGCCTGATTTCATTATACGGGATTCGAGCGCACCCCTCGCCCAGAAGTCTTCGGTCGACCCGAAGTTCGAGAGCGGTAAATATCTGATATGCATATACAGGAGAAGGCTCCCATCGTCATGGCGTTGGTATGCATGCCATCTATCCTGCTTCGAGGAGAGGATCTCATGTCTGTGTAGCTCCATTCGATGGCCGAGCAGTGATCCCGGAGGATCCTGTTTCGCTTCACTTCACGAACACAGATTACCCTCCTCGACTTGAGAATTCCCTCCGGATATCTGAGGTAATCCCCAGATTGATGGCGAGACCCCCGAGGCTAATCTCGAAGTCTTCAACTTCCGTCATCGAGGGAGTCCCCGGGCTTTGGTCCCCCATGGTTCAAGACTGTTTTCTGGATTGAGAGGACACAGCGTGTTGATGTATCCGAATTCTGAACCCGAAACTCTTGGGAGCTTATTCGAGATCGAGATCTTCGAGTCTCGAATGAGCGATTCGACCGATGCTAGGAGCAAAAGCTCCGTCAGATCAGACTATAAGGAGGTAGCCGATCTTGTAGCCTCTTGGTAACTCTCTGGGAGGTTTAACTCCACGTCAGGGAGAGCCTTGCGTCCATCTTTTGACGAACTCGGATACGGCAATCCGCCCCTCGTTTCTCCCGTACCAGCCATGACGATATTCGGAGCGGAGACCCGAGATACTTCTAGGGGATATGATGTCTAAGTTCCATGAAAAAAGGAAACCCAGTCCACGATTCTTAGCGATTCACAGGCCTCGATATCCTCAGCGTTCGCTGGTTCCGGTCGTTAGCACCGAAACTGATCTCACGGGCGCGGATGGACTCATCAATCCTCGAAATCAAAATCAGGGAGGCAGTTTTCGGAGGGTCGCTCAGAAGCTGCTGCCTTCCTCACTCGGATTGGTGAGCCGATTCGCTCCTAGAACACAGAGAGGTCCTCCGATCGGCTGAACGCACTTCGAGGGTCCAGAGCACTTTGCATCAAAGGTCTCCAAGCA